ATCCTGTGTGAGTTCTCCAAGCAAAGCACGCATGGTTTGGGGACTCAACTCTGTCATTGGTTCATAATGACTGTGACTGCTTTGAATATGTCCCTCTATTCGTGAAGAGCTTTGCTACTCCTCATATCGCTTGATCACATACTGGACTACTCCCTGACTTGCTGGTTCCTTATCAGACTTATGAGGCATATTGTTTCACTTTTTGTATCCTCAAACACTAAACACCAGTTGTCCCACTAGGAGTGCTAAATTGTTTTGCGCGAGTTGTCACTAACAATTAAAAAAAGGTTCAGACGATTGTGTAAGGAATGGACCTCTTAAGACAAAGTCCCAAAAAGGGGTAATGATATCTTATGTTTGCTAAGATCCTGGCGATTCGAAGGTTTGGGGGAGAATGGGGTCATCGCTCTAGGCGATCATAAGGCACTCCATTCGCTCAAATTTTAGGTATCTTGTAAGGTTGGGCGATGATGTTACTTCGTTTCGTGGGCCTCCACTGCATTCATCAATTGTCCTATTTGGGCCTTTATCCTGGACTTCCCAATTGGGCTTCATCCCTTGGACTTTTCAATTTCGGTTACACTTTTTGTGTGTCAACCTCAGATAGCTTGCTCATTTCCATCCAAACTGTAGACCTATCAAGCAATCGGTTTAACGGTTTATTTGATCTTTAATTTATTTATTTGGCATTCAAATTGATTAGCTTCAATGTTAGCAACAACGGCCTTACGGTGCGATTCCTTTGTCGATTTGCAGAAATTCCAATCATGTCAAGATCTTGAATTTCAGTATGAATAAATTCAATGGCCATGTATTTCATAGAATTGGTCAATGTTCTTAGCTGGAATTTTTCAAGGCAGGTCTCAACCCTCTCTCAGGATGGACATCATATGATATTTATACTGTTAAAACATCGAAAGTACTCTCTTTACCCAACAACTACTTTTCAGGACCCACCAATGGTAGCATTGTTTTGATGTCTAACCTTTTAGCATTTTAGAGCTCAATGAAAAACGACCTGATTGGTGAGCTCCTTCATGATATTGGATTATTGTCCAATTTGAAACAACTTTTGCTTTACACAAACCACCTAAATGGTTCTTTGCCCCCATCTTCGACAGATTGCATCAACCTCAGAGTGCTGCTTTTACGCAATAATCTATTTGTTAGAGAAATTTCAACTTGTTGGGTTTTGATACCCAATAAATCTCGGGCAATGATGTAAAATGTAGGATTATATTTCACAAGCCTCGATCGATGAGTGAATTAATTATTAACAACTACGTTTAAAGGCTCAACCCGAAAACAACATGGACTCTTGAAAGTAGATTAATGAATTAATGTTGTCACGGCCTATGTATTCACCTATTGGACGGCTCTTGAGTTTTGGCCCATTTAACCCTTCTCTTTGTCCAACTAAAGCCTAACATATATCTATATATAAATATATACGGGGAAAATTACCCCAAATCCTACCTTTAAAGTTTCAATTTCAAAAATCAAATCTTAATAACATTTCTTCAATAATCAGGTGATAATTCATCTTTTAAATATTAATAATAATATTATAAAATTTAATTTAATCAACATATTCATCCCACCCCAACAGCATTCATTCTAATCCAATTTCATTTTCAAACCCTAATCATGTTTCTTTATCTTTTCTCTCTCTACTATCTTCCTTCTCTCCATAATCTCTCTCTTTTCTCTATCACAAACAACCATTAGTGATACCGTTGCCACCACCAGCGACACTTACGACGTCTTCACTGTACCAACATCGCTCTGAAGCAACTAGAGTATTTGCAAGGTCGTTGCATGTCGCTGTGACCAAAGTGATGTTGCTGTGTAGTGGCACCTCTGTCTTCACCATTGTTCAGCCTCTTCCAGTAGCAGCATAAGCGGCACTCCAATGGTCTTCGCTACTTTGTAGAGGCGTCTATGCGGTGGTGTCCTCGGCACTGGTATGTGATCTCCGATGGTTGTGTAGACCTGGGCCTCTGTGTAGAGCATCTATACGGTGGTGTCTTCCCCGCTGTTATGTGATCTCTTGTGGTTGTGCATATCTAAGCGGTGGATTGTGGGTGGTGGTGTTGGTAGTAATTATAGTGGTGGGTTACGGTGGTGGCTGTGGTAAAGAGAGTCATGCTACGTGGGGGAGATAAAATGATAATTTGTGACCATTTTTGATTGAATATGACCAATAATTGGTTAATTTTT